TTTTTGGATGCTGTAGCCAATTGTTGGTTGTGTTAGCTTATTCGCAATGTCAGTATGGGATTTCAATTGGCTAACGCAAACAGAAATTGGTAGCTACAGTCAATTAAAAATGCTATGCCATATTTAACCATCTATAAATTTATTGCAGCAACCAATCTTTTCTTTCAGTGTATTCTTGTAGTTAAATTAACGAGATATCAACTGGGTGTAACGTGACATTATAAATTCAACAATGCATGCACAATATATTCAATAATAAGAAGGCATTCAAGATTAAGTTTATCCTAATCTGTTCTAACTTATCCATCTTAAGGTAACGGATATATGGAATTCTATACATACATTATATTTTCATTAAATTGATATATATACATCTTTATATATGTAGTAATTAATAAAATTACCACACATCCGTTACCCCAATAAAAACATTAATTCGTCACTCACCAACCCGACGCGCAACAGCGGAGTTACATCTGCAACGTCGCTACGATGATCTGTAACAAAAAAATATATAATAAAATAATAATAAGGTTCAATATGTATATAAAACTAAATGAATATTAAAAGGGCATAGAACCAATATTTTAACAAACAATTATAATTAGAAAAATAACATTACATACGTTTCGACTCCGATCGGGTCATTATCAATGCAAAAAACACAAATTAACTTAGAAATCCGGTAACAATAAAAAAACTTTCAAATTACATAATAAAAATAAAAATAAAAATAACATAACATCATGTCGCTAACATAATATAATACATAATAAATTAATAGTAACATTTCTTAATGAGTAAATAATACAATGTATTGAATAGCTGTTGTAAAAATATAAGAACTCAGAAGAAAGGAGTAAATAATTATAACGATCTCTTAATTTTGTAAGAATATTCATGTCGTTCTAAGTCAAGTATAAGTAGTCCATTGAAAATAAAATTAACTTGCAATAACGAACATCTTGTCAGAAGAAAAATAAAAAAGGAGTTATGACCTATTGAAACTATGCTAAATATGCAAACACGAACATCTCTTATCCGATGAAAATGGAAAACAAATAAATTTATAAAAATCCATATGTGTATGAGCTTCAATATAATTAAACTATTTTGCACTTGCGAAAGCAACCGCTCTTGAGCACGTCAGACAACATAATGTACCGGCAGAAAGTCGAGAGAGGACAAGAACAGTGGAAAATTAAGAAAACAATATTGAATAAAAAAACGCAAAGTTTTCTTAAGTTAATCATTTTTGTAAGCATCGAATTTTTTAATTCATCATTGAGTTAGATATTTATAAAATAATTATACATTTTTTAAAACAGATCTTAAAAATTCGTATATATGAATTATCTTCTTAATAAGTAATTAATAATTATTCGCGTGAAGTATTTTTGATATTCCAACATTATGTCTTAATATTTATTATTCTTTTTAAATGATTCGTACTTAAATAAAGATTGATAAAATATTCCATATTCTTTATATAAAGATACATGTAAATTTTCAATTAATATCGCGAAACAATTTACGCTAAATACAGCTTTGGCTAAAAGTACTAAATATCTTGTTAATCATTATTTAATTTTTCAGTTAATAAATTAATTTAAGACATTACCGTTGCTGCAAATTATTCTGTGTTTCAAAAATTCTTTAAACTTAGTTATGTAATGCCGATCATACGACTTAAAATAAAAAATTTTAAATAAGTCTCAGAAATTTATTTAAAATATAAAATCGTAGGAATCGGTAAAAAAATTTATACGACTTATTTAAAATTAAAAAAATAAAATAGATTCGGGAAACTTATTTAAAAAACGCTAATAAGAAATAATTCAAAAGTGTAGTTATTTAAAATAATAAATACTGTAAATAACTCTTTTATATTTTTAATTTAAAATTGTTAAAATTAATCAAAGCTCTCACATTTTTTATATATATGTATACGTATGTATATATCAGTTATTGTTCATATTTTCCTCATCCGTTTATTTGATAACTCGCGCCACCAGTCGACACAGTAATGTACCGACAGGTCTGCTCTGTCTACACTTTCATGTCTGTACGCGCACGATTACGTCATATCTTTTGTGGTTATAACTTAAGGTGCGATTTCACGCTGACGCTAGACACTCATTTTCAGCGTCAAAACAGGTCACGTGATCAAAATTGACGCTTGGTATTCGTCAATTTTGATCATGTGACCTGTTTTGACGCTGAAAATGAGCGTCTAGCGTTAAATGAAAATCCAGCCTTATTGTTCTCTACTGTTTGTTGCACCTTTTCAACGGAAGCACATCTCAACGTGTCTTCCATATATTTACAATAAAGTGTTACAAGGAGAAGGCGTTCTTATCATTTTCATTCAGTTGAACCACACAGAACCTCAACAAAAATATATACTTTAAATAGCTTTATTCAACCCTTAGTACACCTTTTAGTTTTGGGTACCCTTACACACGGAGAGAATTTTTTCTTAAAGTTTACCGAAAATATGATAATCGTGAAACAACATTATATTTCGAAGAATGTTAATGTAAATCTCTCTCATTCATTAATAAAACTACAATAAAGTATAAAATCAGTTTGATTAATTTTACTGAAGTGCAAGTAAAAATTTTTTAAATACTGTGTTGTACCACATCTACCATATATTTTCAGGGTAAATTTTAAAAGAAAATTCTCTCCGTGTGTACTATATACACGTTGGGTCATTCGTGTTCTGGATTAATTTTCATCATTTTTATAAGCATATAAAAATTATTAAACGATTTTTATATATATTTTGACATCTTTAGAAAGTATTTATAAAATTGTATATAACAAATTGTATATGCTCCTTACGAAAATAAATCAGGTGCTCCTGATGAAAGTAAATCGCGCTGAAATCGTTGAAATAAATCTATCAAATTAATAATAGAGATTTCAACGATTTCAACGATTTATCATCAGAAGCACTGAAAAGAAAGAATGTTATGTAGTTTGCATCCCCTTCTGTAGGGGGCAATAACATGCGGGGGCATTTTGCAGTTACAAGAAAATGGCCCTTCTTATGTCCTCTCAGTTTTTTTCTCTCTCTGGTACTACTCTAGCAGTACCAAGCAGTATCAGCGTAAATATTTGTGGAATTTTAGGTTACTAGTTACATGAAAGACGTGAAAGTGTTTGCGTATTTACCAATAATATAATTAATCGTATTAATTAATTATATCATATATGTGATAATGAGTGAAAAACGTGAACGCGAAGGCAGTGATACGGAAGACGAATGGATTGGACCGTTACCTTCAGAAGCTGCTCCACAAAAGAAGCAACGAGGTTAACTAACCTAACTAAGACTGTTGTCATTAATTTTCCATAATTTTAATAAATGCTAAGTGAAATTCTATATATCTGTTACTGTTTTCTCACTTATTCTCCTGTCGAATATATGACATAGTTATTATCTAATAATTTAATAGGAATAAAAGTAAAAAATATGAAGCTTCTCTACAGAGAAAATTTGGATTTTTCTATTGTCTCTGAGATCTTTATTCTTTATGCTTAATATTTCTTGAGATAAAATGATTACGTCAAAAAATTATTTACTTTAAAAAATTATATATATCATTTGAAATTTTATTTCTTTTAATTTTACAGTCTTGGAATATGAACAAGTTTATATAGATAATTTGCCATGCTGCGAATGTTATGAAAAATCTTATATGCATAGGGATGTCATTACTCATATTTTAGTAACAAAGTTAGTATCGTAATAATAATTATAATAATGTGTAGCAGTTACTTTTCTCAAAATCTTATTTATATTTATTGATACAGGTCAAATTTCGTGATAACCGCCAGCTGCGATGGACATGTAAAATTTTGGAAAAAGCAGGAAGAATTAATAGAATTCGTAAAACACTTTCGAGCTCACTTAATGGCAATACAATCGATATCTGCTAGCTGCAATGGTGTTCATGTATGTTCAGTCAGCATAGATAAAACTATGAAAATATTCGACGTTATTAATTTTGGTAAGTATTAAAGTTTACAGGTGACTCTCTTTTCAGATGTAGAAGACATATTTAATTTATTCTGTCATGTATACTATTTAAGATATGATAAACATGATAAAACTGGACTTTGTGCCACTTTGCACTGAATGGGTTTATTCAGCTGGCGATGCTATAGCTGCTGTGGCAGTGTCTTCACAAGAATCAAATAAGATATATATTTATGATGGTCAGGGATCAAGTATGCCTTTACACGTATTTGAAAAACTGCATACTAAACCAGTTGTCATAATGAAAGTAAGTCAGGCTATAATAGAAAATCAATGAAAAGGAATATCAATGTTAAAATAAGAAGAGAGAATAATGCTTCTTGTTTTTGCAGTATAATGCTGTATATGAAACATGCATTTCCGTCGATAGAGCTGGAATATTGGAGTACTGGACAGGTCCAAAAATGGAATATAGATTTCCTAAGTATATATTATTTGAATCAAAATTGGACACTGACCTGTTTGAATTCGCCAAAAATAAGACTTATCCGTGCGGTTTAGCAATATCGCCTGACGGTAAACGGTTTGCGTCCCTCAGTGGAGACAGAAAAGTTAGGATCTTTAATTTCCGGACGGGCAAATTATACAGAATATTTGATGAAACACTGCAGAGATTTAGCGAATTACAACAAACTGTACAGCAACTTCCAAACATGGAATTTGGACGTAGGTGAGATGTTTGCATTTTGTGTAATCGAAGTTAAATTGCTTCCAATTTTTCAATAACTATTATTTTAATTTCTATTATTATCATAGAATGGCAGTGGAGAGAGAACTGGATAAAACCGAAACAAATTTGGGGAATATTATTTTTGATGAATCTGGTTATATTATTCTGTATCCTACCATGTTGGGTGTCAAAATGGTGAATCTTTACACAAATCGTTGTATTAAAATCATGGGAAAGCCAGAGAACATACGACCAATGCGGCTAGCATTATTCCAGGTATTCAATAAAAATCTTATCATTAAAGTGCTAGTCGTAAAGCAACAGATATAATAAATATGTAATTCAAAATAGGGAAAAGCGAGAAAGACTACTGCCGCATTAACTGTCGAGATGGAGGCTTCCGAAAATCCCACCATGGAAATGAATCGGCCAGATCCAACATTGTTTTGCACGGCTCACAAAAAAAATCGATTCTATATGTTCACGAGACGAGAGCCGGAAGACACAAAGAGTCAGGAATGCGACCGCGATGTATTCAACGAGAAACCTTCTAAGGAGGACATCATATCTTCCACGGAGGCCACAAACATGCAAAAGATATACGACACGGCGATAATCCATACGGCGCTCGGCGATATCCACTTGAATCTCTTCGGCAAGGATGTTCCCAAGACAGTGGAGAATTTCTGCGTTCATGCGAAGAATGGTTACTTTAATGGTCACATATTTCATAGAGTTATCAAGGGTTTCATGATACAAACGGGCGATCCAACTGGGACTGGTACCGGCGGTGAGAGCATATGGGGAGGCGAATTCGAGGATGAATTCAAGCCGAACTTGAAGCATGACAGACCATATACTCTGAGTATGGCAAATGCAGGGCCAAATACGAACGGCAGCCAGTTTTTTATTACATTGACACCGACAGTAAGTACAATTTTTAAAAATAAAGTTTCTCAGAAATTGATTATATATGTTCTTCAGATTTTACTTAAGTATCTTGTTCGTTTTTAGCCCTGGTTAGATAATAAGCATACCGTATTCGGCCGAGTTCACAAAGGAATGGAAGTCGTTCAAAATATCAGCCAGGTAAAAACAAATCCTAAAACTGATAAGCCTTACGACGACATACGAATAGTTAGTGTGACTGTTAAATAATTTTATATAATAAAAATCGAAAAACATTAGTCTAAAATGTATCAATACATTTCCTTTCTCAATAATTTCATGATCTGCATATTTATGATATTCATTTACTTTTGCACCATTTGATATAATAATCCTCTGGTGAAGTTATATGCTCCCGTGGCACAAGTGAATAAATTGACGCTGAACAAATTATAATTCTTTGGTATAATGACCAGTGAGTATCTAGAAGTGTGCAAATTCAGATGAGTCAGATCAATTAATTTTCTATAATAAATCATAAAATCTCAAATAAAAGATATACCTAGACCAAATAGCACCTGTAATCATAAGACTCGCGGTTTGGCTGAGAGAAATCGTATCTACAGGTCGATTAATATCTCCTATGCCTGCTATAACCAGACCCCATTTAAACGTTGGTGCCCAGAAGAATACGGTTGTAGGACCTGACAAATTGATTTTTTTCTCGAAACATTTTTTGATAAATTTAGACGTAATCTCCTCAGAGAAAATTTAATTGAACAGACCATACCTGCAGGATGCAAAAATGCAGTGCGAAATTTCTCGGGTAAGACCGAAGCGATCTTTAATATTAATCTCCTATAAGCACTGGGTGATGCCATAATTTCTTCCGTGTAAAACTATTGCTAAATTGAATAAATATATTTTATATAATATAAAAATTATATGAAATCATAATACAGCCTGTAAAAAAAAAATGTAAATAGCAGCTATAATATACATATATATCTCATACAATTTCGATAATGACTTAATGACTTCATTCAATATTAACATACACTGAGTACCAAATATTTTAATCGTCCATGCATCATTGTATTTATAAGTTTGAATTATTTGTGAAGCCTAAGAACTGCTGGCTAACATTCAATTAGTGTGCAAATCACTTTCTTAATTTTTAATTTTTGAAATAGTTTGCGAGATATTTTACACATACATTCTACATTCTTATTATATTATAATCCTAATAACCTATTTTGTAAATAAGAATTCATGAAGAAGCAACAATGAAAGAACTTGAAAAGAAAAAGAAAGGCAGCGAGATATCGAACAGCAGCGGAGAATAAACATAATATTTTATTATTTATTTATTATTTCCATATGTAGAATTAGTTACATAATTCTCGCAACAATTATATAGTCCACGGTATATGTACGCCACAGTATCAGTATATAATTTTTTTTGTATTAAACTGCAATTTCATGTCGACAAAATTAATATATTACTGTCACAAAGATAATATATATTTGGCCTGCAGTGTTAAAAAATGAAATACATTACAATTAAATTTAAATAAATTTCAAAAATAACATAGGAATAAAACTGAGATAAAATAAAATGTCGATAAAAATAAAAGATATATCTTGCAAGAAGAAATCAGGACCGTGCTGGAACGATATGGAAGAGCTAAAGTATCTGATATGTGCTATTGACAGTTGGTATGTGCAATTTAATTTAGGAAATTCCAATGAAATTCAACGATCAAATCGCGTGTTTGATAGAAGAGAAACAATTAACGTTTAGTTCCTGGCAATTATTAACTGTTCTAAATATTCAAAGTATGATAACATTTATAGTAAATGCCCAAGCATTCCATCGCCGCCGTCGCGCAGCATAATTTTGCCCCCGAGAGTTGAAGAAATTCCTTGCAAAAGTCTACCCAAGAGGCCACTTTGCATTCCACCACCTCGATGTTGTCCGATAATACCTGGGCCTTGTTGCTCCCGGTTGTCACTTCCGATACCTTACTGCAATCCTTACCATCCTTGCACTCCATTACCTTGTTATTCAAGCAAATAGAAGGATCAAGAAACTTAAGAAAATAAAGAAAACGTATAAAATTAACTCATTGATTGCCATGTCTTTTACATATAAATGATGTCCAATTTCATGAAAAACTCAGAAAGCCAAACACATTTTCGTTTTCATAATTTACTTCCTTTTTGCCTTAAAACATTTAAGATTTAAATATTAATAGAGTCTGTAATATTTTTGACATAAAAAAGTAAATTATGAAAAAAACATATTTGAAATATTTTACAAGAATATTTATGAAAGATATGCAATCAGTGTGTTAATACATTGTATAATATTTATTTTAACTTATGCATTATTTGTCATTTTGGAGTAAGCAACGACGAGTATAAAGGTCAAAAAGGAAACCCTTTCATGGCTGAAATAAAGGAAGGAAATTTATTACAAATCCATATAAAACATTCATATTTTGCTTGATTTTAACAAAAAATCTGTACGTATACGATCGACAGAATCTAATCAAAATATCGGATATCTTTTTCTCTTTTTCGGAAAAAAACGAGATCAATGCAGCCCCACAATGGTGGTCCATTTCGACATCATATGATCTGTTTTCTGTTCCTTCACTAGACTGCACTAGAACTTTCTCGTTTTCGACAAATATCAAACATATACCTATCTCACTTTAATTTCCAAAAGTGTAGTACACTAGTTTAGTCGCAGATAACAGACCTATAGAATAATATCGATAATCGCGTATTTCATAGGATTGCATGATATGTTCCAAATAAAAGCGTCACTACCGTTCTTATAAACAATATCAATGATAAATAAACACCATTATGATACAGACAGAATCATATTCGTACCTCACGCGCATTTATCATAGCTTAAATATCGATAGCAAATAACCGAGGCTATTTTGCCTACGAGATTACTTTGCTTGGTCGCTTGTGTGTTTATTTTGTGTGTTTATTTGTTCCCACCAACACAACAGGAATACCATCTATATTTCTGTATTGCTCGAGGATTCCGACGTTGGCGAACGTATCTTTATACTGATTACATTTTAGCATATATGCTGTCCTTTAAGTTTAGACAATTCGCGATCAAATTTCAGTCATCGCAGATTTCAGCGGAACCATTTTTTTTTTTCAGAAAAGTGCTATTACGATTTCCCGTACGTCTTGATTCTCTTGATCAAATGATTTTCATCTGCTACTGGAGTTGTATCTTTGATCTATTAAGGAGGAACACCACCCTTGAGACCCAAAAATGATATCTAATTTTGGCAATTTTTTGCATTAAACTAAATAAAGTCAATTAAAAATCATTTTTAAGGGTTTTACTATATGAATTTTCTTAAGAATAGAACTTAAGAGTACAAAAAATTTGTTTTTTTAATTTTTATCACACAAAATGACGAGTGCATAATGCATATGCGGTGTACACGGAATTTTTTACACATTTTGATGTGGAACAGAGAAATTTGTATATCTACATACTTAAAGCTGGAGAAATACGTAGGATTATTTTAAAATATTTATTTTTGTAAAAATGATAAATGTTAAATAAAAGTAACATTTTTAATCAAAAAAATTTCATCTTTAAATGTTAATAACAAAAAAATTTTTAATATATCGCAAAAATCCTACGTACTTCTCTAGATTAAATATCTGAGAGTAATCTGTGTAAATTTCAAGTGAACTGATTAAGAATTGTAAAAATTATCGTGTACATTATGTTTGTAAACCTCGTTTTGAGGAAAACGCGTTTAAAATTTTCAGAACTTGATTTTTTGCTTATAAAATTATAAATCTGAATTGCGCCTTTAGTCTGCAATGCCTGCGCCATACATTTTACAAGTGGCAATATCTATCTGCCAAAACCTGTTTCTTTGAAAATTTGAGTTTCCTTTTATCTGCGGAGCTCTGCTGCATGATATCCGCTTGGAGCAAATTCAGCAACGAGGAGATGCAAGATATTGGCTCTAATTATACAATTGATTATACCGACTTAAAACTATTGAAATATTATTCTTAAAGATATGAACTATAAATTTAAGTAAAAAATTTCGATTTTTTTCAAATCTCAAGAGTGGTGTTCCCCTTTATGTATCATGAATTTTTACTGCGCGGGAGATAGTTAAAATATTAATTAAATACAAATTGGTGTTTTTTCGGCGCGGAGGTAGCAAAGCGATTGACTTTCCCGTTACCAGCTGATATTATTAAGTAATTATTATTATTATCATTACTACTAACATGCTGCCTTATAAACATTCATAATCTACATTATTGACTACATTGTTGGCTTATTTATAATTCAGAGAAATAATGAGCTTACAGTAATATTTCAAGTAGACCGTTAGCACACACACATAGCACAAATATGACGCGAAATATTGGGAGGTCTTTGCAGAATTTTCTTTCTGAAACGCCAAAACTAATTTTACGCCTCGAAGCCACATAATCGTAAATTACATTCGTCTGTTTGCGTGAACTTACATATCAGATGCAGAGTATTACATTTGCATCTCATAAATGTAATTTTTTATCACACCCTGTCTCGTTATCGATGACTTTATTTCTGATATTATATCGCGCTGAGCTCTTATTTTATTCAGTGGCCTCATGAAATCATAACATCGTATTCGCTATGATGAGTCACATACAATAAGACCCATTCGAAACGGAATATGTAATAACAGTCATTCTTTATATGCGCGGCGCGAATAGAAATGCGACACAACGTCGAAGCTCTTTCATAAAATTGTGACTTATATTGCTTACGCATACATATGTATGTGCGTGTTTCGCTCTAAAAAGCTTACCAGACTGCTTGGTGAGAAAATGCATTTTGAGGATAGGTGGAATTAAAAATACAACATTTTGACATTAAAAATGTATTTTACGTACATTAAAAATGTATTTTACGTGAGATTATATGTATTTATTTACACAATCTCATATCTAAAAGACTACGAAGTCAGAAAATTTTTCATCTCTTATCTTTCATATGAAATGTACTGTCGTGAAACTGCGTTTCACAAAGGACTATGCTCGTGTATAACTCCCAGAAATTTAATTTAAAACACAAAACCCAAATATCTTTCACACTATCTATCAAGACTTGGCACATTTTAACGTTTTGGCATTTCAATGAAGTTATGACCTTTCTCTAAAACAAATTCTTCTTTTGAAAAGGTCACAATATTTATGGGAAACTAAAATCATAAATTTAA